TCCTCGAGGCGTCCAACTCCGCTGATAGTTCATAAATGTGCTAAAATCGAATCCGCCATTAGTATATTTCTACCTGCACATGCTGCACTTCTTTTTTAGAGTGAATAATTACTTTTTATAATTTCAAATTGTGTAAATTGTAATAATGTTTGTATTGTTTTCTTCTTTTTAAGATATGAAATTAGCACTTTGCTCTAGAAGCGGCACTGGCACTGCAACACATTGCTTTTCAATTGATTTTTCCACCAGACAGATGACTTCTGGTTAATTGCTGCCTCCGGCCCTCCGTGACTGTGAGTTGCTATTTAGTCACTGGAATTTGGAAATAGTATATATTACTTTGTGAAATTGTAAATTGATTATAGTATTGGCCTTTTAGATGTGAATTGCTTATATTATTACTATGTGAATAAAATTCTGTGAATTGCTTTACTTTTGCTTCCCGTACTAATTGGATATCAAATGTTTAAATTCAAATATCATTTTATGTCCAATGAAGAGATACTTTCAAAGAAAAACAAATGTAGAAAATGTTGATGGCGGGGGATATCAAATTATGAAAACTCATAAGGAACAAGTGCAATATATAAACTATGTCATTTTTAGTATTTTTGTAATATTGTTTTATATTTTTATCATGATTAGATCCATGACCAAAAATTTAACGTTCGGCGTCGATAAAATTGTGCCCGCATTGAATTAATATCCTGGCTCCGCCCGTGGTTATAGGATATTAAATTCAAAGCAAGCTTTTGATATTGGCTTAAGTTCGACGCCCCTTGCTGGTTGTTGATGAGAATTTTGGAAGCTCAAAGTTTCACAAAGGTTTAGATATTCATTTTTTGATTCTTCACAATGAGATCCCGACTAAAAATATATATATTTTTAAAACCCATTAAAGACTACGCCCTTTTTTGAGCTCCATTCTTTTGAAAAAAATTGCATTTTTCAATAGTATTTTAACATCATTTCAACCACACATTCTTCAATAAAATAATATTACACATTAATTCAAAAAATTTTCTTATTTTTTAACTACACATTTCTCATCAATACACTATTCAAAAATTCATTTTTTCTACTGAAATGGGGCTTAAACAAGGGCTAAATAAACAAATTACTTATTTATGTTCATATTTGTCTCTCTTTAAAATAAAATTTTTTTAATGTTAATACTTATTTTTAACCACAAATTCATATAATAAAATATTTTATAAGTAAATTCAAAAAAATTTCTATTTTTTAATCAAACATTCTAAAAAAAAAATCACAATTCAAAACAACTTTTTTTCCCAATATTGACCCTCAAACAAGGACTTTACATTCTAGTACTTTCTTTTACAAGCCAAACACTTACTAATATGAACTAGATGCCGTAACGTGCGTTACAAGAGTTTAGTAATTTTTGTTTGGAGATGGGTAAGTAGTATATATGATACTAAAACTATATATTTATTTTTCAACTGCTAATTGGGTTTGCATAATTGTATAAAAATTTGAAAACAAAGTAAAAATTTGAAGTTTTTTATAAAAATAGAAAAAAAAAATAGTACCTAGTATAGCGTTGAAAATGCATTATAGAGATTATTAGGTACCTATATATACTAGAAATACCTCGGGATTGGAAAGAAGAGTATGAGGAGTGATATTGCATAAGAAGTATGAGAAAAAACTGACCACTAGAGAACGGGATTATTATTAAGTCAATAATACTTGTTGGTTGTGTTCTAATATGGATATAAGTTTAATTATTGGCTAATCGCGCGTGCGCACACACATACAGAGACACTCTAAGTCGAGCATCGAATAAGTAAAGATTTATTTTTGATATTGTTTGGATATTTCTAAAGTGTTATTTAAATTTGAACCTGAGGCATATAGTAAAAAGTTCAATGTTGAGTCAGTTGATTGTGATTTGTTTAGTAGTAATATGTCACATGTCTGTGTTCTGTTTTGTTCTAGAACGAATAAATGTTTTAGTTTGGAGGTGTTCGATAAGTACAATTTATGCACTTATTCGAATCACATTACTCAATTTTTATGTTGTCAAAGTGTTAAATTTTACTTAACTTGATTTTCTTTTTTATTCTTTTTTTCTAGTGTTGGATCCGTTTCGAAACAATTGGAAAAGAAAAATGATCAATTGGCTATTGAATAGAAATTTGTGAATTAAATATCACTTGAATAAAAGTGGAGGATCAAAATGAAGGAGATAATGAAGAAAAGGACTAACATGCATTACATGAAAAAATTGAGGACTTGGAAGCAAGCATTAATCTAAATGGGAATTAGAGTTAATTGGGTGAACTTCTAGTTGGACCAAAAATGATTGGGGTACTTACACAAATACCCTATATTTTGGGACAGATAAGACAAAGTATGATAAAGTAGGATTAAATGGTAATTAGATGTATTTGAACATACAAAATACGTTCAAACCTAACATCACAGGTAAAAAGAATGAACTAGTCGATAGTGGAGAAAAATCAAGGAAAAATAGCCAACAGTGGAAAATCAAGGGAAAATTGGAAAGAGAATGAGAAAATCTTTCACAAATTCGTTCATTAGGCAAAGGTTTGGAAAAATATCAAGGCTACTTCAACATTGAAGGCTATTTCTTTTGAACAAAATTACAGGGATATATATATATATATATATAATGCTTTTGACTCTTTGTTTAGTTAGTTCCCCAATTTTGTTATTTTAAGATTGTTTAGTATTCTCTTTACATAGATTTTGAAAGTAGCAACTACAACTATCCATTTTCAGCTAAAAAATCCCTCACTTACAAATTCTAATAATTATAGTTCATTATCTATCTCACTTTCATTTAAATTTTGTGATTAGTTTTAGTTCTAATAAGTATAGTTCATTGTCTATCTCACTTTCATTTAAATTTTGTGATTAGGTTTAGTTTAAACCTTATAATGTAAATAATTAACATTTCTAAAGTTTCTTTTTGATGATTTTGCTATTGTGATTGGAAACATGTTTGAAAATAACATTGTTGAATTTAATAGGAAGTAGATTGTGTCAATATATATATATATATTGAATGCAAAGTGTTTGATACAAAGGATAATGTGAATTCTGTCACATTTCTGTGAAAAAATGGCATTTTCTGTCACTTTTCTCAAAAAAGTCATAATGTATCATTCGAGCAATTAATTAGATGCAGATGCATGCATTTTACACCTGATAGGTACTGACCGTATCCTTAAAATAGTAGCACCTTTACACCTTAAAGTCCTGCAGTTTGATTCCAAATGCAAACTTTTGAAAGGTTGTAGTCCATGGATAAATGATTGAATCCAAGACGATAAACAAGGCATTCTAATTCACGCAATATTTCCTAGTTAGGGCTAAAATCCCGAAAAAGAAAAATGGCAGAAGAGGATTAAGAGTCGATACGATTCGAAATGCCCAAAACATCCTTTTGCTTGAAGTTTTGCAGCGAGTAATAGAAAAGCAGAGCTAGAAAAGAGAGGAAGATATGGAAAATTAGGATTATGGCAGCGCCAAGGACATATATCATACAAATTTATCGTACTTGAATAGTATTTTGTATCTATACGTATGGTCACTATTGCTAAGTCCGTCACAGCCATTGTCGTCCATTCCAAACTCCTCGAAAGATGCTTGGGTTGGAAACCAAACACCGTTACATGGCCATTTTGCTGAGCCTTAGTTAATATGACTAACATCTAGAGAAACTAGTGCAATCATTCACCCAGCAACACTTTCACTAATCAAATAAGAATGAATATGGAATAAATGGCCCAAAAATGATATAGGAAGAATTACAACTCCGGGACATCAAATTGCATCACAATATAAAACCAACAGCCAAGAAAATTGTAAACCCTATAAAAAATTCAGTCCATGAAACTGTCTACCCGCTGGATGTCCAAACACTTAAAACTTACCATAATTTAAAAGGAAAAGCCTACAAAAACCAATTGCCCCTTCTTTAACTATTGTTCTCAAGCAGCAGAAACCCAAGGTGCCACAATTTTTGCAGCCTCATTGACCATTTTCTATCAGCACGGCCGCTCATACGGTCAACATTGCCGTTGATGTGCCCCCAGGGCACATCCAAGTTGGCGGAACAATCACATTGGGGGGTTCTGGAACCAAGCGTGGGGAGTTCGATTTTTGGTGGGAACCTTTGATCCAATAAATGAGGAATTATTGGTGGATTAATCACCATGGAGGAGGCTTCCTTTGGAGACGGAGTAAAAGTCATGTGGGAACCTGGGAATCAACAAGGACACATCCTGTGATTTACCTCCCTGAGCAGCTGAGGGGCCGGAGGTTTAGGGACGAGGATATAGTCTGGCGCAAGTTGGGACACCTCGATAAAAAAAAAAAAAGAAAAAAAAAAAGAAACATTGCCGTTGATGTTGTCAGCCCTCTGATATCCATCACTCCTCGACTACCACCTCCACATGCGAACTCATTCCTGGCGTTAAAATCTCCACGACCATAACCTCTGCCTCCAGCTCCTCTTCCTATCACTCCCTCATTTCTGAATCTAGAACCCTTCCCAGATTGGAACCTTCCCCTAGTATTCCCTGCAGCTTTTGAGATGAAATATCTATGATCTGCACATTCCATGTCCGCCAATTATTCCCCTACTTAGCTCCTAGTGTTCGTAATAAGTGGCGGAACTAGCACCAGGCTAGGTGGCGCGGTTGTTTGTGTTGGCTCCGTCAAAATTTATAGAGCAATCGACAGTTGATTTGGGTTCTTAAGCTCCGCTAGCTAGAAAAATGGGGATTGGCTGATTGGAGAATTCTTTAAAGTCATTTGTCATATTTGGGCCTTTTCTTTTAAATATGAATGTAGACTTTGTTATTAAAAAAAAAAAAAAGAAGAAGAAAGAAAGAAAGGGGAGAATGGGGCCTTTTTGTCTTAAAATTGTGGTCCATTAATTTTGATAAATGCCTGGAATCACAAATCAATTCACAACAATCCATTGCCCAAAGTCTTTTACTTCCACGACATTTCATTTCAAAAATCAGAACTGGAGTCTAGACACCATTGGTAACCTCGAAACCCTATTCTTCCAAGTTCTATCCCACTCCAACTCTGCGATTCCCGGTGTTCCCCTACCCGCCCCGCCCGCCAGTCACGGACTGTCGCCTCCCCCCCAGCCTGCCGGTAAATAGTTCTATTTCATTCATCTTCTTAATTGATAAAAAAATGAATCTTCTGCATTTTAGGGTTTTAAGAGATTGATTTTAGTTATAATTTGATTTATGTAATTAAGGAAATTAGATTAATTGCAATTGGATCTTGGGTTTTAAAATCTTCTGCATTTTAGGGTTTTAAGAGATTGATTTTAGTTATAATTTGATTTATGTAATTAAGGAAATTAGATTAATTGCAATAGGATCCTGGGTTTTAAACATGTGGATAGTGGTCAGTGGACTAGTTGCCTGTGGTTAGGTTTTCAGATTCACATTTGTATATTTTGAATTTCTCTATTATTTGCGTTTGTTTTTCTCTGTTATTTGACTGTGGTAAGGTTTTAGTGCATTTAGATATAAATTGAAGAATTTTAAATATTAATAAAGGACCTCGGTAATATGGCCGTTTGACCGTCGAAGGTCAATGATCAACGGCCGCCTTAGCTGACCTCAAGTCCTGGATCTGCCACCGTTCGTAATACAACATGACTGCAAAAATTTACGTCCCATCTTTCACTTTCATTATGTACTGCATAAGTATCACTGGTTTTTCAATGAACTATGTTTTTAATCACTGATTTTCACTTTTTCTCGGAAGAGGAATCAGATTTTTGATCCATTTGTATACATATTTTTGTCTTAATTTAGAGAAAAAAAGTGTTGGAATTTTATATTGGCTCTGTTTATGAGTCAGCAGTAGGGCCCCTTTTGATTGCAACCCGTCTGCCGTGTAGAGCCTACACAAATCGGGCTGGTTTGAAGATCCATGAAACCCATCTTGCTTGCTTGTTTTATGATACAATAAACTGGGCATATTTTACTGCAATTTAAGTGAAAAATTAAGAAATTTTCTTCTGGGCTAGAGTCGAAGATTGTTAGTGTTGACTAAAAGATGGTATTTTATTCAGATATGGTGGCTTCATCTTTAAATTCAATAACAAGCTAACTTTTGTTCGGTTCCTATAAAGAGGTACTTATCACCGTAGAGGTAAGAAATTTATTTATTTATTGAAGAATAATGTTTGATTTAAGGTTTATGGACAATTGTTTATATTCAAATTTTAGCAAGAATTAAAGATTATTGATAAGGTATTTGAGGTATTAACCCGTAGTACTGCAAAGAATAATGTATATGGGAAGAATGGTGTTGAAATAGAAAAAATATGAAATGGTTTGTAAATTAAAGTTTCAATCTTTGAATTTATTCTGTTTATATGATGCCAATCACTTGATTTAAGTGTATGAGGGTTGATTTCTCCATCTTTAAGCAATTTTAAGCTATTTTTGAGCAATTGTAATACAAAGGTGCTATTTTTGAAATTCTGTCCAGAAAGTACTATTTCTATCGGTGGTTTTGCAGACAGTTTTCCATATATAGAAACTGGTGCAAGATTTAAGTAAGCCAAAATTTTAGTGCTGTTTTTGTTAAATCTTCATTTTTTTCTTAGATTTTAAAAGGTTTGAATGAAGTTAATTGAAAAAAATTGAGGCATAGGTATTGGATTAAATTAGGTATATGGATTGTGTAAGGTAGTGACTTTAAGAGGGTATGAGTAGATGAATTGGTTTGATCATGTGTGGTGATTAGACAGTGAAAAATTAAAGAGAAGACAAGTTAAGGGGGATGGAGATGCTAGAATAAATGTAGAAGTTGATGAATTAAGTGGTGGGTTAGTATTAGTTTATCGGATTGGTTTTAATTTGAGTAATTTATCATTATTTTAGGCGATGACATGAAAGTTTGGAAAAGTCTTGTCAACTTAACTAGATTGCTTTCTATAGCACTGTTTGGTTGATCATTTCACCGAGTAATCTTTCTCATTTTTCCCTTGACTAAGAAGAACTGTAACTAACAGCAGAAAAAGAGGATTAACCTTGTACATAAAATCGTTTAAAATAAATAGGACTGAACGTAGACAACTAAATAGAAAATCCTCCATTCAAAAATAAGAAGAAAACAATAAAAATATATTTTTAAAAATAATTGTAAGTATGGTTTAATTCCATTTGCTTTACAAATTGAACTCGAAAAAATTGAAGGAAAATATAAGCCTCTCAAATAGAATACAAAAAACCAATTAGATCTAAACAAATAATGAGTGGGCAATTATTTTTTTTTTTATTATTTTTTGATTCAGTGAACAATTAGTAACCTAGGAATAAATTTAATGAGTGTTCATTTAATTAACTTAATAATTTAACGTCGTTAAGGTGCGACGTCTGATTTTTGTTGATTACGTGGTACTTTCCATCAAGTCGAGTACCTGGTTTCACTCTAGTGATAAATAGATAACCATTTGAATTGATGAGTTAATAGCAGTGAGCAGGTATTAACTTATGCCTAGGGTAAATTTAATGAGCATTCATTTAATTAACTCGTTTTTACTATTGCTATTTTAACTATCAATGAGATCATTTTCCCCATCGTGTCACTATTTTCGATGTCGAACCGTCTCATCTGGGCCGAAATGAAAACATATGAAAAACTGATGAAATAGCATATTGGCTTCTTTCTTGAGATAAGTTGAGTCTATCTATCCATCATCGAGTATCTCTAGCTCTAAATATCGAAGATTGGAAGGTAACCAATCTATTGACTTCTGCCATTTGAGTTATTATTTCAAATTTCTGTGCATAATCTCAAGTTGTAATGTAAAACTTAATTTTAGACATATTAGCATCACATGAAATTTTTATTAATTTGGCCAATTCAAGTCATTGAAGATGAATTATTTTAACTATAATAGGAACAGAGTTGTATATTTTAAAAGCTGGGGACTAAGTTGGCACGAGATCAATAGATCAAGAACCAGTGCTGCGATTTTAGGGAACCCGGAGTTCCAAATAATAGGGTGTGTGTGTGTGTGCACCGACCAGTTGAAAGCAGCAGACAAGGAGTGAAGGAGGCAGAGAGTAATGAACGTAATCATCCTGACAAAGACGTCAAACTTAGCCCAGACACAGCTGCCAGCCCTCTTTTTCAACTATATTTTCCAACATTCTCGAGGTGTTTTTCCCTATATTTTGCTGAATTATCAGTCTTTTTTGTGCACGTAATTTTGTTGTTCCAAATTGAAATTAGATGTGCATATTATGTACTTGATGAATTGCTTGTTAGAGTGTATTTCATATTTACAGTGGTGCAGAAGTTGCGGATTGTGAATATATTGCAGAGTAGAAGAGGATTTAAGGAGGTGTGTGTAAAGAGGATGGCTTGGAGTGTGGAGAAATGTAATGGGAATGGTGTGGAGACTACTAGAATGGGATTGGTTCATCCAGCAATGAAGGATAATGCCAAAGAGGCAATTGAAGCTGTTAAGGCTGGGAAAGTTATAGCTGTGCCAACTGATACCCTCTATGGCTTTGCTTGTGATGCTTGGTATATTTCACTTTCAATTGGCTTAAGTATTTGTACATATTATTGTTAATACTTTGGCTCAAAATTGGATTGTTTTAGCAATGAATTGAATGAACAAGGCATTATCTGTTGTTATTGTTGGTTGAAATTGAAAATTGTGGACAACGGACATAACGTCAATGTTACTGCTTGCTACATGTTTTTTAAAGTCATGATTTTCAATTGAACTAAATGGTGGTACAAGCATTTTTGGTTAAGCCTAATATTAAGTAGTAGCTACTTTAGTTTTTTAAACATGTTTGGATAAATTATTATTTTATTATTAAAAACAGTTACTTATTTTGAAATTCTTACTTTACACTCAAATAAGTCATCATTTTCGATTTTTATCTATGAAAAATTTACTTATATTGACTTGTAAGCGAACTCTTTAAGCTTAACCAGATATGCTTTTCTTCGAATTGTGCTCTCTATATAGCCATGTTTTTTTAATAGAGGTTTAGGTGTGTCAAGTGTTTCTATATATTAAGGACATTTATTTATGAAAATTTCATGATTCATATAGGCAGGGACTGATCTAATATGTTTTGTAATAATATGAAAACTGCATTGAGAAAGCAATTTTTTGGCAAAGTAATTGATGGGGGACATCAATAATTACATATCACTTTTCTCCTCCATAGTCTTCCCCTGATGATTGCTCGCATTGAACTATGAAGTGTAGAAAAATAGGTTATACACTTTTAGAACATAGCATTAGATGTTGCGTGCTAAACGTTTGCTTTTATGTGGTGGCATAATGCTAGCTCCATGGAAGCAGTTAAACAGATATATGAGATCAAAGGCCGTAAATATACGAGCCCTCTTGCGATTTGCGTAGGAGATGTTCAGGACATACAGCGGTTTGCTGTCATTGATAATTTGCCTCACGGGTTGCTTGATTGTCTTCTTCCAGGACCTGTGACAGTGGTGCTAAGACGAGGTTTGTAGGAACCATTACTATATTTACTTAAATAGATTTAGTGCATGTTTTTAATGAATATTTTAATTTCAGTTAAAACAAATTTGTTCATCATCTTTTTTTATTTTTCTTCATGTCCAAGTTAGAGCCTATTTGGCTAAGCTTAAAAAATTTACTTATAAGTAAGTTTTGAATCGATAATTTTTTTATTTGATAAGTTGGAAATAAGTTACTAATTCTGATAGCAACATAACTATTTTCTTTTACTTTAAGTAACCTACCCAAACATGGTTGGAAACAAAAATTACTTTTACTTCTAAGTTTTGTAATTTGTGAGATTGCATTGGATGTGGAGTTACACAGATTTTTTGCTAATTTTGAGGTCTTTAATTTTTGTTTTGATATTATGCAGGGGAGTCGAGTATTCTTGAGAAATCCTTAAACCCTGGACTAGATAGCATAGGGGTTCGAGTGCCCGACTGTAGCTTCATTAGGGCAATTGCCCGTGGTTCTGGAAGTGCACTGGCCCTTACAAGTGCAAACCTTAGTGGGCAGCCTAGTAGTGTAGATATTAAAGATTTTGAGAACCTCTGGGAGCACTGTGCATATGTGTACAATGGAGGTGTGCTTCCATCAGGCCGTGCAGGATCAACAGTTGTGGATCTTACGAAGCTAGGGAAGTACAAGATCCTAAGACCCGGGAGGTAAACGTCTAATTTCTCTGACGTTAAACTGCATATGTTTCTCTTGGAAATCTTGCCTTGATAAAGAAAGTACCTTGGAAACATCATGTATCTCGAATATGAATTTTGTACTAGGAATAATTTAAGAGATCCTAGCTCCAAAAATTAATGGCATGTTTGGAGGGAGGATTGGCCAACATTGGTCGAAAAAAAAGTTAAAATCTTGTTCATCGTATTGGCTAGGCTTGTTCACTATTATGTACCAAACATGTAAACTAAATGTACAAGAACTATACCTAAATATCAGAGGTGATATATATTTGATTTATTTAGCATGGGAAAGCTTCCACCCACGCTTGTCCTAAACTGGTTAATGAGAAATGAGCGTGTGCTATGTTACTGTTCTGGACATTATTTTGTTCTATTACTCGACATACAAGACACCTCTTTGGAACTAATAAAAATTTTAACGTTTTCATAGCCCCGATGCTTGAGTTTAAGCACAATTTAAGGATTGATAAATTTATTGGAATTGGTTGAGTGCCCTATCAAAGACGATTGATTATTAGAGCCAATATTAATCAGTACTCTCTATCTGTTGCAAACTCATCTTAAATTCATATGCAGTATGTAATGGCATAGCTTATGACAAAGCACTGAATTATATTCTAACCAATAAGTTTTGTGGAAAAATTGTTTCTTACAATTAGTTGCATATCTTATTTTGTTCTCTCGTGTTGTGCTTCCTAAGCTATCACGTAAATTGTTTCATAAAAACCATTATAAGTATGCTTAACATGATTGGCCCATGTTATATGACTTCGATGTGCTTCTTTTGTCTTGGCAGTGCGAAGGAGGAGACGGTCGAAATCCTTGAGCAACATGATCTAGTTGAAGACTCTAGCACCACTTCACAAGGCACCTGAATTCATATTTGTCCCGGAGAATGTTTATCTGCTGCTATATTTATCGATATCAATGTTTTATATTTTATGCTCTGCATTCTGCGCCCTGTAACATAGTTACATGGATAATTGATCACTTGGGTAAAATGGTCCATTCTACTATTTTTTATCACAGCTACCTCCCCAACGAAGCAACAAGGTAAAGAAGTGCTTCATTTCTGCAATAATGATGAAGAGTATGAAGGCTTGAAAATGAAATTTAAATAGTTTACAATGCTAATTGTAGGTTCATTGAATTCTTAAGCTTAATTCAAACCCTTTTTTTTATTATTATTATCAGATTTGATTATGTACTGGTATTAGTTTTACGAAGTTATTCCTCGGAATTAAACCATATTTGGATTTTCTAGCAGCGATTTACATTAGGTGCTGGAAAACTCTAGCATGAATGCTTATTCATATGGCCGTCGAATTTGCCGACTCTTAATCTTTTATTGATCTTCCACTACATCTTGCTTTTGGTTTAGGAAAGTATTCTTTCACGTCGATTCTTGTCTATGTTCCTTTTTATCTTTGACATCTCCGTTTGAATACTGCACTCTCTTTTTGATTGTGTCCATATTGTTGTACACTGAACATGAATGAAGGATTTTGAAATGAGTCGAAGTCAAAGTATAGGCAAAAATTGATTTATATGCGATTAAAAAGCAGGACTATACCTTTCTAATTGTTAGGAAAAATGAAAAGAAAATGTTTAAGACAGCTTTCTTTTGTTGAAAATTTAGGATATGTTCTCTTTGTTGTTTTTGGACCATTTTCTAATTTCAATTTTTCAAAACGGTGAAAATGCATTCTCTTTCTCGTTTTTGAAAACGAATTTTTGAAAATGAAAAAAAAAATTGTGAGGAAAATGCAAAATGATATTTTTATCGTTTTGAGTGTTTTTAGTTCAAAACTCAAAAAAATTGAAAACACGGCAAACGGTTCCATTTGATCCAAAATTCCTCCTCTTTTTCTTAAGCTAACAATTCATGGCCTCCTTCCATCAATAACAATCACCACTCGCCACCTAAGCTGTCGGACCCACACACCACAGGCACTTCCTCACCTCCCTCTACAACCTCCGATCATCACCTGCCCATCGAACCGTCAGAAGCAGCACCAATTCCCATCCAAAATAGTGAGCGTAGTCACGATTTTTTCCCACTTGCTTCCACATCCGGCCACCCTTTCGATCGTGGACCATCACCACAACATTCCTCTCAATCAGGCGCATCTAGTTCTACCATGGGTCACCCTCAATTTCGTCCCGGCTCAGTTTGTTGGAGCACTCCGTAAGATTGGTGAAAAATTGTCTTCTAATTTCACATTTTTTGTTTTTTGTTTTTTGTTTTTTTTTGTTTTATATATAGATTGAGTTTGCAAGTATCTTATGTTGAATTTAAAAATTTCTTAATGAGTTTTGCTTTCGAAATGGACTTCAAGAAGATGATTTGGATCATTCTACAGATGAAGCTCTTCTTCGACTGAAATTGGTAAAGATGCTTTATTGTGCCCCATCTGAATTTTTTTATTGAAGTAATAATTGTGAAAGAACTTGGTGTAAGACATCATTTATATTGGAAGGGCTACTGAAGATCCATGATGACGTGGGGGAGTTAGATTATAGAAGACTGGAATTGGCTTGGTAGCCATTCTGTTGAAAGGCTTGCTATTAAGTTTGTTAGAATATTTGGAGGCAATTTTTTAGGCTGTGTGGTGCGAAGGACAAGACTTGGAAGCCAATAATCATGACAAAAGAGTGAAATGAATTGGGAAAGCAACAATATTAGTACTCTAGAAATCTGTTTATCACCTCAGTTTACTGCATATGTCTTTAGAAATTGACAAGCTTGCAAGAAATATAATCCTAACTCTTACTTCAGTTGCGAGGAGTATCAACAAGCTCAGGTTGCCCTTAAAATTCTCTAGCTCTGTGAATCATTGGTCTAAAGTTTATGCAGTTAATCATTTTGCAGCTTGTCTTATTCTTTATTTAAAGAACATAACTCCTTAATCGGATGATGCCTTCTCCTCTGGGGCTGAGTCATGAGGAAAGATAATTTAAAATTCTGGAGGACAAAGTAAATATGAGTAAATGCTGGGATCTATGTTGGATTGTCTAGTAAAAGCTCTATATAAGTCTTAAGAACTTCAAACAATTCGTGAGATATGGATAAGTCATTAGTTTTAATCACGGAGACGTGCATAATAGTCAAATTGGAACAAAAATTGAAGTTGGTTAATAGTTTAAAATAAAAATAAAATCCAACCGCTAAAATGAAATAATTCTATGAAGTTCAACTAATACTATGTTTAATACTATACTAACATTAAACTATTAAAAAATCAGATTTCTTGAATAAATATTATAAAAAAATTATTCTCAAAATCTCAAAGTTTCCAATTTTATATTTTGAGAAACAATTTTTTAGAATGACAAAGAAAACGTATTTTCAGCAATTTCAAAACAGGTACTTAAAACACAAAACTCAAAATGAATTCAGAATTCAAAACTACAAAACTCAAACACGAGATTTTGGGGCTTTTGGGAGTGCATTTTAAGGCCAAATTTAGATTAAGGAGCTTTGGGGGGCTTTATTTTGTGCATTTTTTTATTTTTATTTATTTATTTTTTCGTCACAAGATTCTTGTTCCTATTGGGTTTGTGACGTCTTTGGAGACACAATTTAGGTTCTTCAATTTGTCTGATTTTGTGGATGGAATTCTTGGTAAAAAACTTAAAGGCCTAGATATATTGGTTCTGTCAAAAAAGGGGTGCCAATGCCTATGATGGGCGGGGAAGATAAATATCAAACTCCATCACTCTATTCATCTTCCTGCATTGTTTGCAAATATCACTAACCCTCTGTTGTTGCTATAATTTGATTCATTTCAATTCCCAAGTCTTGCCTGATTCAAAATCGAGTATTGTGTATTCTTTCCCTGTTCCAATTATAAAATAAATGTAATAAATCCTTTTTTTTTGCTTGTTTTCCCAATTATGAAGTGTATTTAACTAAGGATTCTTGTGGTTCTCACTTCTCAAGGTTCAAGTTAGAGAGAGAATCCGGAATGGAGTTGTTCACCTTGTTGTAGTTATAATATTGTCAAAATATATGTCGGGATCAATTGTCCCAAATTAGAATATTATACTTAGCAGTGTGAAAAATCGAAAAATGCAGCTATCAAAAACAGTAAATTAAACTATTGAACAGCAGAAAATAAATAGAATGCAAGAACACAAGAATTGTTGACCCAGTTGGGCAATAGCCTAATCAAGGGGCTCAGCGATCGCCCATCCACTATAAGCATCTATTAAACTGTCCAGAGAGAGGGAACGTACAAGAAACCGAAAATCAGATCTAGATTTTTGGCCAAGAACTACAACACCAGCTGATTTCAGCTCCTAAACACTTGAATCAATCCTAATTGAACTTTGCAATAAATCGAACATAGTTGCCTAATCAACACAGCCACAAAACCGACCTAAGGCAACTATACAAGATCAACCACATAGGGTTACAACTCTTTTTCAAGATCACAAACTTAAAAATCGAAATTGAGAAGAGAGGAATTTCCGTGAGAGTGCTTAGGAAGGAGAAAACTAGAGAGAACCCTTGAGCTAAAACAATTGAACTGAATGAATCTCAAAGGACTAACTCCAAACACGTATTAATGTCCTGATTTCATCCATATAGGAGGATATCATCCACAATGTAATCCAAGAATGTATTACTAGAATAATTGAGAAATAAGTTTGCTAAAGGTACATCAAGTTTGACATTGTGTGAAGTGGAAGCTTTTTTTATATTGAATTTAGAATCTTGCTACATATACACTTTGATTTAACACTTTGCCACGTGGCATTATCCCATTGAACAATTTAAATTTCAAACAGATTTTTCATCCAGTTGATATTTGACAACAATGCAAGTGTCAACAAAAATGTCAAAAATCAGTGTACAAATAGCAAAATCCTTAAATTTAACAACACTTCTTTCAATCAATGGCTAGATTTCATTAACATAGGAGGATGTCATCCACAATATAACCCAAGAATGTACAACTAACGTAATTTATAATTAATTTTGATACAAGTATGTCAAGTTTGACATTGTGTGAGGTGACAGTTTTTTTGTACATTGATTTCAACAATACTTTTTTCGATCAATTGCCAAATTTCATCTACATAGAAGGATGTCATCCACAATGTAATCCATGAATGTACAACTTGCATAATTGAGAAATAATTTTGCTACAGGTACATCAAGTTTGATATTGTGTAAAGTGTCAACTTTTTGCATATTGATTTTAACAACACTTTTTTCAATTAATGGCCAAATTTCATCCACATTGGAGGATGTCATCCACAATGTAAACCAAGAATGTACAACTAGTATAATTGTAGAAACAATGCTATAGATACAGAAATTTTTTCATATAAATCATACATATGGACACTTGTCGTTGATTATCATTGAACGATGACAAAAAGAAAAAAAAAAAAAAGGAGCTGCCATACAGGTGTAGCCATTTCTGTGATTGTAGAAGAAAAGAAGCACAATCCAATCACACATAAATCAGCCAATTGCCAACAGCCACATGGACTCTCACTTAAAAGAAGTGTTGTTTTTGTGAACACGCTTTTTTACTTTCAATATAAATATAAATCAACAAAACTTTTGTTCTTGTGATATTTTATATTCACTAACTACAAAATAATTACGATTACCTATCTGCAATAATCCAATGTCTTCTCATACCTAATTATTCTTTTTCCACTTTCTAATATCTATCGAGATGAATAACTCGTACTTTACGAGTGATACTATCAAAAACTGCATTTTTAACAACAAATTTTTGGTGGAATTAAGGACTATTGTCTGGTTGTATTTGAAAGTTTGGCTTGATTTGGTAGTTCAGAAGACCTTATCATTGTGATCATCTACTTTAGTCGTGAATAATGGATGAGGGTACCAACAGATTTTTTAAGACAAAAAAGAATTAATTTTATTCATGAGAATTAAAACTGATATTTTAATTCTTTCGATGATGTGTAATGGGAGAAGCTAAAAAGTAAAAACATACCTAGAGAACTAAGAACTATTCGTGTACAGAAAAAAGAAACGTAGAAAAGATATAGAACACGCACACGCACAAGCACGGGGTGGGTGGTTTGTTTTTTCAATAGAGCTTTCCCCTTTTCTTCTGTGTAGGAACATAGACTTGTTCGAGAACTAATCCTTTAATTTGTTGTTTCTGACAGTATAAATTCTTCTATAATTACATTTTTATCGATAAGTTTATTGAACACATAATTTGATTGTTTGACAATAAGAATTTAGATCTATGACCCAAGTTTAAATT